AATAATGGAAACAAAACAGAAATCCTCACAACTAGACCCAGCATCATGATAGACAAAGATAAGAAGCGTCATGATAAAGAAAATCCTGAAATTGTCGAGGATTTGGTTTTACTTGGATCAGTAATCAATGTCCAAGAATGCATCAGTGAAGAAATCAAACAGTGCATTGTCTTGTATAAATCTGCTACAAAGTATCTTTTCAAAATCTTAAGAAGTAAAGATGCCACTTTGGTGACTAAGGCACACCCAACCCAAATCGTGATATTTTCAGTTGGGAGAAAGATAAGGGCTCTCTTCCTATGTGATTTCTATTCTCTGAAAATCTGCTATGAGTCAGTTATGAATAGGTTCCCGCTCAATAGCAATGAGAGAGCTGTTTGTTTTTTAATATGCACACAAGCTGTTTCATTCTGTAGTAGGGAGGGTCTTTATGAGTGGGACCTGACTCGATAGAACCTAGCAATATGCATGTAAAACCTGGATGTTGAGATTCAAAACCAAAGTTTAATTAACCCGTTTGAATCATGCTGTTGGTAAGAACATTCAATATATCATAGACTTCCAGAAAGAACCAATCTGACTTTGTCAGAATGTTCTTTATAAATGAAAATGGTGAGACTTCACCAGACTTTGTGCATGTTATCAGGAAGGACCAATCCCTGGTAACGTGTCATGATCGGTAAAGAGAGAAAAACCTTCAGTGAGGATGAATACCATGGTGGCTGTGACAGTGGACTCAGATGTAGAAATAATTGTGAGGACGGTATAATAGCAGGCAATGTGTCCTTCTGTCACACATAGAGTTGTCAGAATTAGATCCTCACCATAGACCTAACAGTCAACATTACAATAAAGGAAGAAAAGCTGTCAATGACTTTGTCTTGCTTGGATCAACAAGTAACACCCTTGGTACCAGCAGTCAGGAAATCAGAAGGCGTATTGCATTGGGCAAATCTGCAGTCAAAGGCATCTCCAAAATACTGAAGAGCAATGATGTCAGCTTAAAGACTGATGTGCAACTGATTGAGGCCATGGTCTTCTCAGTTACCTGCTAAACATCAGAGAGCTGGATGAATAAGGATGATGGAAGAAGAACCTTTGAGTTGTGGTGCTGGAGAAGAGTCCTGAATATTCTATGGCCTGCCAAAAAGCAAACAGATATGTCCTGAAAAGGGTGCAGCCAGAATGTTCCTTGGAGCCTAGGATAATCAAGCTTCATCTTTCATACTTTGGACATGTAGCTAGGTGAGGAAATGCCTTGGAAAGTACATCAAGCTTGGAAAGAGCAAGGGTCAATGAAGGAGAGGAAGACCCCCAATGAGATGGATTGACATTATGACTTCAGCAATGGGCTCTAGTGTCCCAGAAGTGTTAAGGAAGGCACAGGATAGAACAAGTTTCAGAATGGCTCTTCAAAGAGTCACTATAAATCATACTTGATGACACCTAACAACATCAATAATCAACAACAACATGGCATGTTTTTATTTGGCATGGGCCCAAGCTCTTTTCTGTTTTCTGCTCCATATCACTTGTTCTTTCTTCTCTAAGCTTTTCTGGCAGAAATAAAACAAAAACAGGTTTCTGGTAGACAGTTTTCACATGGGAAGCTATTTGCCATCGAGATGACTCCATTGTCTGTGTTGGACCTCATGTGTGTCAGAGCACATTGAGTTTTCAATAGCTGGTTTATTTTCAGGAGGAGATTACCATACCTTTCTTCCAAAGTGCTTCTGGGATGAATCAAACCTGCAGCCTTTCAGTTAGCAGCTGAAAGTGTTTACATGTTATACTTCCCACTACCCCAACCTAGTGGATTGTCACAGTGACTGTAGCAATGGGCTTGAGTGTGTCAGAGATGGTACAGGATAAAACAAGATTCAGATCTATTGTTCATAAGGTGACTATGAGTTATAGTCTACCTAACAACAACAATCCATGTGGCACCTGTTAACAACAACTACCTCTGAAGAACTTCAATAAAACAAAAAAATCACAACTACATGTTTAAAATGACTATCGTTGGATGTTCTCAACTGAAGAATATGCACTTGAGAATTCTTGAAGGGAGCTCTGGTGGCCTAGTGGCAAAAAACCACACTGCAATCCCAGCAACATGCGATTCGAATCCACTAAATGCTCTGTTGGAGAAGGAAGGACAATCTTCTCCTGTACCAGTCAGCTCTGATTTGATGGTATACACACAAAAAATAATAAAATAAAAAAATTTTAAAAGAAGAATTCTTGAAACACCACTTCATAGTAGTCTTTAATCATTAATATATGCTTCATTAGAATACGGGTGTATCCTGAGGTTTTTATCTATGGCCTTTCTTTTTCCCCTATCTCTTAAATCTGCGCAATCATGTCTGGTATGTTGAGTCACCTTTTAGTAGAGCACATTATTATTATCACATTTTCTGTAACACAAGCACAGGTTCATTTGAAACCCCCAGGACCTCAATACCAAGGATCTCTGGAAGTACATGACTGTTGATTCTAACCCACCAGCCACTCTGCAGAAGTAAATGTGGCAGCCTGCTTCCATAGAGATTTGCCACTTTGGAAATCCTGTGGGTCAGTTCTACTCTACCTTATATGGTCTGTGTGAGTAAGAACTGAATGGGCAGCAATGGACTTGGGTTTGATTTGGGTCAAATACCAAGAGAAGGATCGAACTCTGGTGGCCTAGAGGTAAGGAATTGCCAACCCAAAGGCACATGGTTTGAATCACCAGAAGCTCCAGCAAGAGGAGAAAGATGGACGATCAACTCCCATGTAATGTACTGCCTCCAAAAACCCACTGGAGATTCAGCTAGGATTCACTCCTGACTCAACAGTACACAGCAACAACATCCATAGAGGGAGGCACAGCTGAGACTAGAGTGTTGGTTCAGTGCTTTTCGTACTTAATAAGTCTTATCGTTCTTTAATCTCATTGGGATCACCGGTGTGAAGGAAGGAACTGATTCTCTAAGAAGTGCTAGTTTAGAGGACATTTCTCTCAAGCATCCTTCAGATCTTCTCAATGTACTCTCCTGTTCCTTTCAGCATTCAAAGTCCTTGCACCTCCAAGCATCTGGTGTCCTGTTACTCAAATCCCTGCAAATACCCACATACCATTTTTGGTCTCAGCTTTACCCAACTGAGAAAACCTCCTGCTAAAAGTTATTTTTAAAAATAAATGATAGTTAACGGAATGCCGATTCCTTTTTCTTCTTTTTTTTTATTTCTCCAGTTTTCAAAATTACTCTTGCATTACGCTGAGTGAACTAATTCAGTCCCACAAGGACAAATATTGTATAAAACCATAATGATCTAAGGGGGTTGGGGCAGGGTGGAAGCAGAGGGATAAGGAGGTGCAGGGGGATGGGGGGATTAATTATGGGGTTGTACAATTTGATGGAGGGGTGAGGGAGATTGGAAGAATCTATTCTTGAAAACAATGTATTAGAATTTTGTAAATAAACTAGTATAAAATTTTTTTTAAAGTCAACTTGGGGAGGGGCAAGGGAGGAAGAGGTGGTAAAATGTGCCACAATGAATGAGTGAAAATCTAACTTTTCTGTAAACTTTTGTTAAAATCCCAATTCAAAAAAAAAAAATTTCTTTAAAAAAACTACTTTGTTCATGAACAGTAAGTGGTAACCTAATATTTAAGTCTTTCTCCTTGAGGTCTTTAACTATTACTTTAGTATTAACGATGAAACTAAGAGTGCCTTGTCTATTTAATATTCACATTCTATGTGCTGTCATTACATGGAGTCTGAACTTCCTCGTAGCTAATCCTCTGCTGAGTGTCCAGAGCTATAAATCACATGGGAGGAGATTCTTTTTCCTAAGAACCACTGGTGAATATGAGCTGCTAGAAGGCAAAGCCTCTCTGTTATTTGCACAGCGTTGGTGGTGGAGCAGCCACCAGAGCTCTGCATTCTATTATATTGTTATGTTGCTGATCCTGCTGCTGGTTGTCAGAGGCAATAAGTCTCATGGAAGGAGGCTGCACCTCTGTCCCGTGAAGAAGCTGATGGATTCCAAACACCATGCAATTCCTTACCACTAAACCACCATGGCTCCCTCCACATTCCATTAGGCACTGAAATAAGAATAATTTCATAATTATCATGGAGACTATATGCAGAAGGATTTACAGACTAGATGAGATTTGGGCTAAGTGACTCCAGGGTCCTGGTTTCCAAAGTCAAAGATTTATAATTTTAAGTAATGATGACCATATGATACCATAAAACCAAGCCATTCAAACTGATTATTTCAAAGGGTATACAACTTGATTCTTGAACGGATAATTTCAGTAAAGCTGGTACTAATTATTTAATTGAACCGCTTTCTCAGTGCATTGTCAAAAACAATTGATTAGTACTGAAATTTCTTTCCGCAGCTTTCTAGACAATGGAACATAACAGCTCTGCTCCCATATTTAAACATAAAATTATTATAAAAAGATAACTCAAAGCATAATATTTATAAATATTACATAATATGGTAAATATGCACTTGCCTCTTCTAAAGCAATAAAATAAAAAGCACCAGAAGCCATATCTATAGAATACAAAAGTTAAATGTGGTCAATAATAACAGGCATTGAAAACTCAAAATCTGGTGGTTTGACTTAAGACTTGAGGACATATTATTTGTTTTAAAAATTAGATCCCTTTCAACTCTTTAATTTTATATTTAGAAATTAATATATCTAAATTAGACAATAGCAAATTTCATGGTTATGTTATTATTGGTGGGAAAATCAGTTCATAGTATATTGAGTGTTAATTCTATATTAAGATATTTAGTAAATGATATTTAATTAAGTAAAAATAGATGCATAAAGCCTCCCATTAGTATATTTGACCTACTTCACTTTAGAAGTGAGATAGTTTGAAAAAAATTGATAAAACATATATAAATTTTGCTCAAATTATTTTTACTAGCATTTCATTTCTTTTACCCAGCTAATAATTTCAACATTTCTTTTTTTCTTTTAGGGCGAGATTCTCATTCACCAGACTCAGGTACAGAAAAGCTATTCTGAATCGCTAATACATTTCTGAGTATGGTATTTTTTTTCCAAAACAGTCATAGCCAAATTGTTGTGCTTACATTTGTTTTAGAGTTCTATCGCACAGTTTTGCAAATTAAATGGAGTTATATTTCTAGAAAGAAAATTTCAATGTAGGAAATAAAAACTACTTTTACTTAAATCTTGTAAGTGAATGTAGATATTTTTGTATCCAATTTATTTTCCCTTAATAAAAGCTTGGAGATCTTACAATGATCGAAATCAAGAGACACTGAACGGAGATGCTACGTATTCCTCTCTTGCAGCAAAAGGTTTTAGAAGTGTCCGACCGCACCTCCAAGACAAAAAATCACCTCTTCAGGTAATCTCGCACACTCTTATCTGCTGGGTTATTTTTAAACATAGTTACTAGATCTCTGCTTTCTAGCTTCTTTGCTAGTAACCTGCACAGGTTCAGCCTTGATACGTTTATTACATATTTGGTTTTCCCTGTTTTGCTGGCCAGACTTGTATTTGAAAAATTAAGGGCAAAATTTAATTTTTATAACTTTTCTTTCTTCTGATTGACTGGTCCCCTAAAAGTAGGTCAGTTTCTAATCTAATGTTTGGCCACATATATTTGTTATGGTTGAAAAATATGCCAAAAGAACATGTATTAAATGATTTCCCAGAATTAAGAGAAAGATGGACTTTATATTCTTTATAAGAACTTGGGTTGTTGTTTGGTTTTGGGGTGGAGTTGTTGTTGTTGTTTTGGTTTGGGGTTCTTTTTTGCTGGTGGAAACCACTGATGATAGATTGAAATGATTCTACAAGAAGTGAGAGCAATCTAGCCAACAAAACACGTGGCATGGGAAGAAGATTTGACATTGCTTCATGTTCTTTAAGGTCAAGCTTGACACAGATTTCTTTAATGACTAATTTTTACTTTCTCTTTTTTTTTTCTTCAACATTATTTCCTTCTCTGGATGCTTTGACAATTCAGATGCCCCTTCCACCGCCCAGGAAAGAGAGTTTTTGTAACTCCTTGGTGACTAGTCACACAAAGTGTGACTTTGTAGATCCATTAGTCACTAACACACAAGCACCCTCTAGTACAGAATACCTTGCTTATCAACAGCCTGGTAAGAGGAATATGTATTCCAGTGAAGATCCCAATCAGACAATTGTGTATTCTGAAGAATCTAACACAACCATGTCTTTTACGCAAAAAATTACCAATTCTCTACCAGTAAGTGCTAGCACAGAACCCCCACCATTTGCTGACATCAGAACCCCTTTCCTACAGGAAGACTACATGCAAGATTCTCAAACTCGGAGACTATCTAGCTTGAAATTAGCCCATAGCCCAGATCTAGCAGGCAGCAGCCCCTTTAATATATCACAGGCTTCCACATCTGCTGCCCTGCCAGTATTACCCAGAAGGCCTTTTTCACCACCGCCTAACACTGTGCCTGGGACACACACAGCGTCTCTTTCCATTCAGATAGCTCCCCTTTCAGGACAGGATCTTGAAAGCCTCAAACAGCTACCTGAGCTTTCTCCAGAGACTACAAAGATGCCTCTTCAGCAAGAGAGACAAAAATCTACAGTTGCTGCTGCCTCTCAGTCCTCGGACGGCCGGGTGGTACATTACACTTTCTTGTCTCTTTATTCAGGCGTGTTGAGAGACCCTAATTCCTTTAGTTTGGGCTTCTTATATAACCAAATGTTTTGCTTTGCTCTAACCAAAAGTTTGGAAGTAGAAAGGGAAAGGAGAAAGAAACCACCTTCCAAATTGAAAGCTCTACTTAGTTCATTAATACATCTGGAGCTCTTTTTTAATTAAAGAAAATAATACAGAGAGAGAGAAACCATCTGTAAATAATTTTCTGAACATTTCTTACCTAATCACAAACTTTCTAAATGCAAATAAGTGTTGGGTTTGTTATAATGGCACTGCAAACTAGTGCTTAAAGCACTTTTCAGTTTTAAAACAATTAAATTGTATGACAAATTTGTTTTACATACAAATCTAAGGTCACTATGAGTCCTAATCAGTTCAACAGCACCTAACAACAAAATAACAAAACCTTGCAGTAATACCTAATGCCATCAAGTCAAAGTGAGCCTCCATCAGTTTTTTGAAGCTATAAATCTTTATGTCCAGGAGGCAGGCCAACTTCCTACATGGAGTAGGCTGTAGATATAAACTATCAATTTTTTGGGAAGCAGCCTGACATGTTACACACTATGCTACCTATGCTTTATTGTTATAGTCAATTATAATTCTTTTCCTTGTTGTTACTGGATGCCATTTACTGATAGTGATGCTATGGACAAAAGACCTGAAACCTTGTCTATCCTGCACCATCCTCACATATCCTGACACGCAAGAATCCACTGTGGCAGTCACCATGTCAATACACCTGGTTGAGGGTCTTCTTCTCCTTTACCAGCCCTCTGCCCTTCCCTATATCATGTCCCTTTCCAAGAAATAGCCCTACCTAGCAACATACCCCAAGTACATGAGATAAAGTCTCATCATTCATGACTCCAAAGAACACTCTGGCTGTACCATCTCCAAGACATATCTGTTCTTTCTCTTGGCCATCACTGGAATGTTCAGTGTTCTTCTCCAGCACAACAGCCACACTAATTTTATTTTTATTTTTTTCAGTCTCTTTTAGCTCACTGAAACTTAATCATGGTCTACTTGTTTAATTTGATGTTTCAGAAATAATAAAACTAAACCCATTCTTATCAAGATTATTCTAATTTAGTGACCATTTAGAACAGAATAGAGCTGACCATAAGGTTTCCAAAGTTGTCAGTCTTTATGGCAACAGACTGCCTAGTGGATGAGGAGTCATCCTGCCAACCCAAAAGCAAGTGGTTCGAACTCACTAACTACTCCATGACTTAAAGACCATTTCATCACCAGAGCTTCTTTTGCATACAAGTAGTAGGTACCCTACTAAATGTTAAATGTTGTTGTTGTTGTTGTTGTTGTATGCCATCGAGTCACTTGTGACTCATAGTGACCCTATGTACAACAGCCCTAAACCCTGATCTATCCCTTGCCAATTGCATTGCCTCCGACACACTCATCCCAATTACCCCAGTCACTGAATCAATCCACCTCATAGAGGGTCTTCCCCTCCTGTGCTGTCCCTTCACCCTCCCAAGCATGATGTCCCTCTCCAAGGACCATAAGGTCCCTCCTTACAACATGTCCAAAGTATGTCAGACGAAGCCTCAGAATCCTTGCCTCCAAGGAGCAGCCTGGTTTAACTCTCTCTAGGATGAATCTGTTTTCTTAGCAGTCCATGGTACACTCAATAGTCTTCTCCAGCACCACAGCTCAAAGGCATCAATTCTCCTATCCTCCCTAGTCATTGTCCAACTCTCTGATGCATAACAAGTGATTGCAAAGACCGTGGCCTATATCAGATGCACCTTAGTCTCCAGAGAGACACCATTGCTCTTCAGTACTTTGGAGAGGTCCATAACAGCAGACTTTCCCATCGCAGTATGTCTTTTAATTTCCTGGTTGCTAGTGCCAAGAGTGTTGACTGTGGAGCCAAGCAAACTAAAGTTGTGAATGATGCTGCATGAGTATAAATTTTGAGCTCTGGTAGTGTACTGCCTTACTTACTGGGTTGCTAACCAAAGGTTTGCAGTTCAAATCCACTAACTGGTAAAGATTCACAGTCTGGGATACTTTATAGACAGCTGAATTTGAAACCCGTGCTTGATACTTAAAATTAGGTGTGGTCAGATAGTGTTGTTGTTGTTGTTGATTGCTGTCGAGTCAAGCACAACTCATAGTGACAGTATGACCAAAAAGCCTGAAGCCTTTCTATAAGTTTCCAGAGGCATGTTGTTTAGGAAGTGGATGCCACTCCTGCTGTACATTAAAAAAAAAAAATCCCACACTTTTCAACAACAAAAGGAGATAAAACTATAGAAATAAAGTAGACAATGCTGATTAAGGGTATGGGGAACAGTTTCCATTTTGAATAAACAAAAACACTAAATCCACTGTCACAGAGTCAATCCAAACCAACTCCCACCCTCAATAGGACTTCCACAGCTGTAACTCTGAATGGACGGAGTGGTCAAATAGACTACTTTGAAAGGCAAGACAGCATTCACATATTATAATGATGATGTAGGCAGAGAGAGCATCTAATTTGAAGATTTCTAAGTCTGAAACATGCTGGGGCTGTTCAGTGTGGGAAAGGAGAAGGAAATGAGGTAGAGTTACAGGAAATGAAGTCACGAATGCCAAAGGTCAGATCATAGCGGCCCTAGGGAGCCACTGCAAAGAGTCCAATTTATCATCAGTGAAAAGGGAGGCCTTGGGGATTATGAAAATCCATAGAGTGTAACCCAAAGGTGGTACATCTCTGGTGGTTAGAATCTACCAGCAGCTCCATAGGAAAAGAGTCAACAATCTTTTGTCTTGTTGTTATTAGGTTATGTGGTTATTGTTCTGTGCCATCAAGTCCCCTGTGACCCATAGCACAGCTCTGAACCCTGCCCTGTCCTGAGCCAGTCTCACTGATTTCAACACTCCCACCCCTATTCCCCCAGTTTCTGTTTCAATCCATCTCATCTAGGGTCTTCTCCTTGCTGTCCTTCTCCAAGGACCAGTCTTTACTGGCCACTTGCCCAAAATATGTGAGACAGAGTGCCAAAATCCTAGCCTCCAAGGGGAAACTTGGTTTCTCCCTCTCCAAAACAGACCTATTTGTTTTCCTGGCAGTCCATGTATACCAAAGAAATTTTTCTTCTAAAGTTCTGCTAAAGAGTCATTTATTAGCTTGTTCCAACAAACACAGCAATGAGTTTGAGTTTGAATTTTATCTTCTTACATAATCTTTCTGCTCATTGAATGGAGAACAGACAATAGTGGGTCAAGGAGGAGAGCGGGCAAACCAGTTAGGTTGCTCTTGGAATAATGCGCAGGAGATATGGCAGCGGCTCAAAGCAATTTAGAGGCAGTGGAGGTGGCAAGAACTAATCGGATTCTAAACGTAACTTGAAAGTAGAGCAAACAGGACTTCCTGGCAGATTAAACATAGGATGTGAGAGAAAGAAAAGAATCAAGATTGGCTCCAGTCTACAACTGGGAAGGATAATATTGTCACCAGCTGAGACTGGAAAACTGATGGTAAAGCAGATTGGGGAAAAGACCAGAAGTTGCATTTGGAATGTATGAACACTGAAATAGAAATTCCTGGCTTGCACAAATGGTTCAGTGAAGATTACTAAACCAAAGATCTGAGGTTCTCTACTCACTCAGAGGCACCTCAGAAGATAGGCTTGCCATTCTGCTTCTTTCTGAAAGGCCTGGGCATTGAAAACCCTGTGGAA